CAATAAATATTCTCTTCCCTTCTATCGTCTCTCTCACCAAACAATCAACCGTTTTATTTTATCTAAAACAAGCCCTCGTTTTTTTCCTTCCATTTATCAAACATAGGTTGAAAGTTTCATGGTATCTTATTTTATTTGAAACAATAGTCGATCAAATATTATTGCATTTTTTTTCCAGACGTAGCGCATAATCTGTACGTATTTTAGTATTACATTTTAGCTAGAATTAACTAAATTACTGTATTAGCCAATTATTCTTTATTTATCGCTTCTTTTTATTTATTTGAATTATAAGGTTTTTCTTATATTTTGAATAGAACAATGGGTTGTTATGGGCTTGTCTTGTCCTTTTGGGATTATGGCGTTATCTTAGGAAAACTAAGATGGTGGAAAATGTGGAGAAGGAAGTGAGCCCATAATTTTAAGGACTTAGTGGTGTAGTGTGATCAAGTGACAACCTCCTTGTATTTAAACTTGATTATTAATGAGAGAAAAAAGTGTTAGCCGAAATTGGATAATACAAAGAAGATGAAAATTATAGGGAAATGAAAAAAAACCGAAATTATATAATGTAAATTAATTCAACCTTCCTACCAAACTTAAAAACGGAATTGGAAAAAGTCGAGGCACGTGGACCACATTTTCCTTAAAACAGATTCGTCCCCTCCGGCGTGTGCTTGAGGTTTCGTTGGACATCCGTCTCCCAGGATACAACGACAACGACAGTAGCTCGATGCACTTTCAGAACCGTCCGGCGAACTAGAACTTGATCTTTCCTCTATCACCAAAACGGAACAAAACAAGACAAAGAAAACACACAACTTTGGAAGCAAGAGAGAAACGGAGAGAGAGGAAGAGATTTCTGGAAAGGTGTGTTTTGTTCATGTGGAGTTTGGCCTTTATATAGGCTCCAAAATATGGGTGTTACACCAAGACATTATGGTGTAATAACCCAGATTTATTCCAGCCATTACTCTGCAAAATAATGGAGCAAAACGTTTTGATTTTCCATGATGAATCCAGCCACAAAGCAGGATATCCAAGTTCAAGGAAAAACCGTTGCAATAACCAGCTTTTATCATCACAATTAAGCTTGGTTTTAAGCACACTATTAAGCCCCTTTTTAATCACCATTATGCTCATTTACCTGCAATTAAGGGGGTTTTCCGGTCCGGCATTCGTGTCCACAGGTCGCGGGCGCACACATTAGGCCCCAAACCCGTCGGGATCGTGATTCGCACCCCCCCTGCACGTGAGAGAGCATCTCTGGTATACATGCTTACCAAGGCTTCAAAGTGCAATCACTTATAAACACCACATTGGCTTCACTCCTAGCCAATGTGAGACTTTTGCAATTTCCTTCTACATTTACCATTCCAAGTAACATACTTAGACCATCAATTTCTCATTCACCCAAAAACCATTTTGAGTGTATGAATACTCGACTTCGCTTTCCTCACGACGGAGAACGCAAATCCATCGAGACTCGTCCCAAAAACCTATTGGGCCTCATCCGAATATGAGCCTCAAAATGAGCCTTTAAAATGGCTTAATAAGCCATTTTTTCAACAAAAAGTAAAGAGAAAATTGTAAAATTTATCTTTAAAATTGTATGATTTTATCTCTTATTTTTAATTAATACATTTTTACTAGTATAGTTATTTAATTAAAATTTTAATACATGCACTTTTAAGGGTACGTGTCTGCTTACCACGTGAGAAAATGGTGTGTAGGGCTTGATTTTTTCCAGCAAATCAAACTATCTTGAGAGGCCCTGATTCATTGAATAATTAAAATTTTATATTTCAAGTTTAAGTATTTTTTTATTTAGTTTGTAACAATAGGGCAGTCAAATGTGCCTTCTTGGTTCAAAATTTTATGGTGTGTTTATTCGCACAACTTAAGTCATGATTTAAATTGTGTATATGAGAAAAAAATACTCTAGTAAAAAAATTAAATTTAAATTTATGTGAGAAAAAATATTATAATAACTTAAGTCATGATTAATTTGTGTAAATAAAAACCCCCTAAAACTTATCATCAAATATGACTGCGACTTATGCTTACCAAGGGGGAAAAGAACAAACATATATTACACAAAGTCTTGTAAGCAAAAATAAAATAAAATAAAAGTCTAGAACTACCGTTTCTCTCTCTCTCTCTCTCGCATAACAAAGTTAATACCCAAACCAAATTTACGAACTGCAGTTTTGTTAGAAATATCACCTAAAATTTGTGAGCGGCAGATGCGAAGAAATGTGTGTACTAAACATTATACAAATAACAATGTGAAAGATTTTACAAAGCTATTCTACTAAGGGCCGTTTGAATTTGCTTAAAAAAATTACTCTTGACTTATTTAGTCTAAAAGCTGCTTTTAAATTTATTTGAACATACAATTTTAAAGTGTTTTTGATATTTTAAGCATTTTTAAAACAAGTTATTTTCTTGTTGCTTATAAAAAATACTTATAAAAATATTTTTTTATTTACATTTTTAACCTTTTATTTGTGATCAATAAATTAAATATCTCATCCATATATTTTTATTAAATTATTTTTTATAACAATAAGTACTTTTAATTTTTTTACTCAAATAAGTTCAAAAGCTTTTTTTAGATATAAAAATACTTTTTTAAACACTAATAAAAAAACTCTAAATTTATATTTATCTTCTTCTACTGCTTAAAAGTATAAACATAAACTATCCTAAACAAGCCTGTGTTGTATTTTATTCCCATTTTCAACAAACAAAGTGTTATATTTTGGTAGTCAAGAAGAAGTTACGTGTTATATATATATATATATATATATATATATTTAACTCTATCATGTCATTTCTCATAAGAATAAATATATTGACAGTAATTCTTAAAACAAAATCTTGATAATACTTTTTGAAAAAAAAATTCATCACTCAATACGTTCACTTCATTAATTTGAGTTGAAATGTGATTTTATGTGAGTTTTTTACTGTAGTAAAAAAATTAGGTGTGACTATTTCTGAGAACTTTTTACTATAACAAAATTTAAATTCTAAACTTAAATCAACGAAATGAACGAGACCAAAATCTTAATAATACATTTTGAAAAAATATTCATCACTCAGTAAAAGATTGGTCCTAGATTATAAATAGATCTGGATAAATAGGTGTACTCAATTTTTTGCTATATCAGTGCATGAGTACTGTGGTATGCGGCTATTGGGCCACGTGCTCATAACACTATCATGCAATAAGTGCAACGTCGCGAACTATTTGTATTTGAGTTCTTTTCTCTTCTCTCTTTCTTTTCCCTCTCTCTTCTGGAAGTAGAAGGTAAAACAGATATTTTCTTCTATGATAGTCAGCCAATTTTTTTTTTTTTTAAACCTCATTAACAGATAAAAGGACGGCCCAATGGATTCTAGCAAAAAAAAAAAAAAAATTCAAATAATGGTCCAATGGAACTCCATCAATTCCAACAAAAATCTTTTTGGGAATGTCTATCAGGTGACCTACTTTTTTCCTACCGGTTATTCACCACCCCGGCGGCATAACTCCACGCCGTCGCTGGAACACTAAAGAAGTTATTTAGTTGAGAAATTCGTATCCCAATTTAAATCATAATTCATAATTTATTATAATATTTTCTCTCATAAAAAATACATATAAATTAAAAATAATTATAATTTTATAATTTTAATTCACAAACTAAACGTCCCCTAAAAAGAATTGCACACAAAATTTAAACAATTCACAAAAATGACAGTTACAAATCCCATTGCAAATCTGAGCTTTTCGAGACATATTACAAAAATCTATAAAATCCAAAAAAAAAATCACATATTCATGTGACAAAATCCAAAAAAAAAAAAAAATTACAAATTTTCACTTCATTCACCGTTGCAAATCTTCGTCGAACAAACTCCCTCCGTCGTCTTCTACATCTTCTCTCAGTTCAACTCCCTCGAAATCCTCTCTCTTCTTCGCCGCCAAAACGCCCGAAGGCCGCATCTCCGCCCACGACGAGGCAATCCGAAACCCAAATGAGGAGATTGATGGCTTCAACGGCGCCGCCAAGTTTACGGCCTCCGGATGAGGAGATCTCCCTTCTCTTTCTCCCCTCCCTCTTTCTCTCTCCGCCGACCTGTTCCCTCTCTCTCTCTCATCAGGACGAACGCCAGCCGTGCTCCATCGCGAACGCCGTGGAGATGGCGAACTCCGTCGATGAAGCTTCCGTCTCGCAACTCCCGTGGTCTGCTTTGGTCTCACGCGATCTACTCCAGCTCCTCGAACCCAACCTCCCCTCTCCAAGGCGGCGCGTATCCGCACCTCCCCGCCGCAAGAGCTCCTGATCATCCTCGACGAAACACAGCCCCTGTTCTCTTTTCTTAAGAAAATGTTTATTTTTTCTGGTTATTTGGTTTTTTTTTTTTTTTTTAATAAATGTTGTAGTGATAACATGTGAGAGGTTTTATTCTAGTTTGGTATTCCTCTTTTTTTTTTTTTTTTACCGCCTGATTTTCATCTGGGGGTTTTAAAATTTACCACCCTATCGTAGAGAAAAAGTTAAGTCACCTTACCATAAACATTCATCAATGGGAATTTTTATAAAATCTAGGGAATAGGTGTTAATAATTGGTAAAGTGCTAAAAATAAAATACAAATTATTTAACTGCATGGTCTTAAGTCACTGATAATACAGTCCAGAGTAAGTGTAACATGATTTTTTTATATGAATTTGTAACTTTTTCATGTAGCGTGATTACGCTGCTTTAATTATATTGTGTTTAATTGGAGAAATTTTTTGACTGTGATAAAACGTTGTATTATAAATGTATAATGCAAATTTCGACTTCGATCACAGATAAAAAATGTCTTCTAATCAAAATTACCTATATTCCATTAAGAAAAAAAAAATCCTTATTTATTTATTGTTTTATTTAAAAAATATTTATCTATATAATTATTAATAATATTTAGAAAGGACAATTTGGTTATTTCATCAATGCGAAAGAGAGACCCCCCAGGATCCCATAAACCAAACCCCGTGCGGCTCTTGGCCAAGTCTCCCTCTAAAACCTTATCTCTCCCTCCCAAACTCTCCATTTCGTCTCTCACTAACCCAATCAACTTCAATTCTCCCATAAAAAATCCTCAGTTTTTCCCGACCACCGCCATAGCTATGGACCCCAAGTTTTCTTCTTCGCCCGAGACGACGACGACGCCGACGCCGGAGCCGACGTATTCCTACTCACCAGGTTCTTCTTCTCCTACTTCCTCTGCTTATGCTTTCTCTGGTTCCGCTTCCTATTCGCCGTACCAGTTCTCCGATGTCGGCGCTTCGACCGACCCCTATGTTTATGGCGGCGACAATAGCGAGAGTCGTGGCGGCAGTGTTGTCGCTGGTTCCGGTGGTGGTGCGGTTTCTGGTGATGGCGATGGGTTTGGGAGTGGTGAGAAGGAGTTTGGAGGAGATTTTGTGGAAGGAGAAAACCCTAGAGCGGTGATGGGAGGAGAAGATGGCGGTACTGGAGTTTTTGTTGTTGGTTCTTCGGCGTTCTCGATGCGTAGTAACCAGAGACCAATTGCGAAGGTCTCAATCGATGATGACGATGACGATTATGCTTTAGGTGGTTCTGAGGTTAGGGTTTTGGGGGCTGGGGAATCGGGAGAGGAATCTGGTGGTGGTGATAAGGTAACGGAGATAGGTGGGGCTGAGAATTCTGTGGAGGTTTTGGAGAAAGACGAAGCTTCAGTAAAGAATGAGAATTTTGGGGAATTAGTGAAAGAAAATGGCTTCAGTGATGAAAAAGAGGAATTTTGGGCTAAAGTGAATGAGAGGGTTGTGGTAGAGCAGGAAAGTGAGGATTTTGGTGGCAGGGAGTCTGGGATTGTAAGTGAAGTGGCTGAAGATGGTAAAACTCTGGATAATGGGAAAGATAAAGATAACTCTGTGACTGTGGAACCAACAGATGACAAGTTGGTCGATTCGGATGGGGCAAATTTTACTGGAGGAGACTCGGTGGTGGAAGCTGTGCAAGTCAATGTTTCGGCTTATGGGGCAGCTATAGTTGGGGATGTGGAGGGGATTGAGGATTCTGAGATTAAAGGCATGGCGGTTCCAGAGGGTGTGAAGTTAGATAACGAGTTTGATACTCTTACATGTGATTCCGAAGAATTGTTGAGTTTGAAGTCGCTGCCTGTTGATTCTAAATCTGATGGGAATGTTGTTGCGGGGTCTGGAGATGGAGGACTTGCTGAACAAGAAACTGTTATTACTGGCTCTGGTGAAGTCGATTCGAAGAATGAGCCAGGACGAGAACATGGGGTGGAAGCTGATTCCGCAGTTAGACAGATAAGAGATGAGGTTGAGATAGGTGCTGATAGTGAAGAAGGACGTGATGGGGATGAAACTAATTTGGTGAATAGTGTCTCTGATTTAGCACCACATGAATTGGAACAGGACAAAAAGGCAATAGCTAATGGTGAAGAAGCGAAAGAAGATGAATTGGAAGCCGGGATCCCTGTTAAATCCAATACGCCCGAATCTTTGGGGCCAAGCTCCACTTTGAGTCGTGAGATAGCGCTAGAACGTGGAGATGAGGAGAAGCAAGTTCCAGATGGTGAAGATGATGATACAGATGAGGAAACTGAAGATGTTGTCTATGGAAGCACTGCCAAACAATTCATGGAAGAGTTGGAACGTGCATCCGGTGCAGATAGTTCTCGTGATAATTCACAGAGAATCGATGGTCAGATTGTCACAGACTCGGATGAAGAAGTAGACACGGATGAGGAGGAAGAAGGTGGTAGAGAGTTGTTTGATTCTGCTGCATTGGCAGCTCTTTTGAAAGCAGCAACAGGTGCTTCGCCTGATGGTGGCAACGTCACAATAACTACTTCAGATGGACCCAGGCTTTTCTCTGTTGAGCGTCCTGCTGGTTTGGGATCCTCACTCCCAAGGTTTGCATCCCATTCCCGTCCTAATCATTCTAGCATTTTCGCTCCAACAAATCCCACAGTGGGAGGAGACTCTGAGAGCAACTTGAGTGGAGAGGAGAAAAAGAGACTGGAAAAGTTTCAGCAATTAAGGGTGAAGTACTTGAGACTTGTTAACAGGCTTGGTGTTTCCACTGACGACACAATACCAAGGCAGGTTTTGTACCGGTTGGCACTTGTTTCGGGACGAGTAACCAGCAGAGAATTTAGCCTTGAAACTGCTAAGGAAACATCTCTCCAGCTTGAAGCGGAGAGGAAAGATGATTTGGACTTTTCGTTGAACATACTGGTTCTTGGAAAAACAGGTGTGGGCAAGAGTGCCACCATCAATTCTATTTTTGGAGAAGAGAAGACACCAATCTATGCGTTTGGACCCTCCACAACTACTGTGAAGGAAATTGTTGGAACAGTGGATGGTGTCAAGATCAGGGTTTTTGATACTCCAGGTCTGAAATCTGCTGCGATGGAACAGAGTTTTAATCGCGGGATTTTATCTTCCGTGAAGAAGGTGACCAAAAAATGCCCCCCTGATATTGTTCTCTATGTGGATCGGCTGGATACCCAAAGCAGAGATCTTAATGATTTGCCATTGTTAAGAACAATTACTTCTGCTCTTGGCCCTTCAACCTGGCGAAGTGGTATAGTTACTCTGACCCATGCTGCGTCATCTCCTCCGGATGGACCAACCGGTTCCCCGCTGAACTATGAGTTGTTTGTTGCTCAGCGGTCACAAATTGTCCAACAGACAATCGGACAAGCTGTTGGTGATCTGCGGGTCATGAGTCCTAGTTTGATGAATCCCGTCTCACTTGTCGAGAACCATCCCTCTTGCCGAAAGAACAGGGATGGTCAGAAAGTGCTTCCCAACGGTCAAACTTGGAGATCGCAGTTGTTGCTCTTATGTTACTCTATGAAGATCTTGTCTGAGGCGAGTAACCTCTCAAAACCTCAAGAGTCATTTGATAACCGGAAGCTCTTTGGCTTCCGTACCCGGTCACCTCCTCTTCCATACTTGCTGTCTTGGCTGTTGCAGTCTCGCACTCACCCAAAACTCTCTGCTGACCAAGGTGGTGACAATGGTGATTCTGATATTGACTTAGATGACTTGTCTGATTCCGATGGGGAAGAAGAGGATGAGTATGACCAGCTTCCACCATTCAAGCCTCTCAGGAAGTCCCAGTTTGCTAAGCTTACCAGAGAGCAGAAGAAGGCATACTTAGAGGAGTATGATTACAGAGTGAAACTCCTCCAGAAGAAGCAATGGAGAGAAGAGTTGAAACGGATGAAAGACATGAAGAAGGGTAAGGTCAGTAGTGCCGAAGAGTATGGTTACCCGGGTGAAGATGACCCAGAAAATGGAGCCCCAGCTGCTGTTCCAGTTGCATTGCCCGACATGGTTCTTCCACCTTCCTTTGATGGTGATAATCCAGCTTACAGGTACCGGTTCTTGGAGCCAACTTCTCAGTTCCTGGCGAGGCCAGTGCTGGACACTCATGGTTGGGATCACGATTGCGGTTATGATGGTGTGAACGTCGAGCATAGTCTAGCCATTGCCAATCGTTTTCCAGGAGCAGTTTCTGTTCAAATCACCAAGGACAAGAAAGAATTCAACCTCCATTTGGATTCCTCGGTTGCTGCTAAGCATGGGGAGAGTGGATCGACTATGGCAGGATTTGACATCCAAAACATTGGAAAACAACTCGCGTACATTGTCAGAGGGGAGACCAAATTCAAAAGTTTCAGGAAGAACAAGACTTCTGCTGGAGCGTCTCTAACATTTTTGGGCGAAAACATCTCCACCGGATTCAAAATCGAGGACCAGTTTGGGCTTGGGAAGCGAGTGGTGTTGGTGGGCAGCACTGGAATTGTGAAATCTCAGGGCGACTCCGCTTATGGAGCAAACTTGGAATTGCGTCTGAGGGAGGCAGATTTCCCCATTGGCCAAGATCAATCCTCACTTGGTCTCTCTCTGGTCAAGTGGAGAGGGGACTTGGCATTGGGGGCTAATTTGCAATCCCAATTTTCTATTGGGAGGAACTACAAGATGGCTGTTCGTGCAGGGTTGAACAACAAGCTCAGTGGACAAATTTCGGTTAGGACAAGCAGCTCAGAACAGCTTCAAATTGCGCTGGTTGCGCTTCTGCCTATTGTCATTAGGGGCTAATTTGCAATCCCAATTCTCTATTGGGAGGAACTATAAGATGGTTGTTCGTGCAGGGTTGAACAACAAGCTCAGTGGACAAATTTCGGTTAGGACAAGCTGCTCAGAACAGCTTCAAAACGCGCTCGTTGCGCTTCTGCCTATTGTCGGGAGCATTTGTAAGATCCTCTGGCCCGGGCCTGCTGTCGAGAAATACTCTCTCTACTAGGTTGAATGCTTTATTTATTTGTCATCTATTTCCATTTTGTTACTTTTTCACAATTATTTGCCTGTCTTTTTGTTTTTGGTTGAACTCATGTTATTGCTAGATATGAAGTCTTTATTGCGCGGTTAAATGCATTCGAAATGAGGTGGAACCTTGAAGGGATGCAATAAATGTCTGGTGGTAGCTTTTCCTTTCATTTCAAGTACTATATGTTGCTGCCATTGCTATGTTTTCTTACCAAGCTTTCATATCTATTATTATTATTTTTTCAATCAAAATCATGTCGTTTTTCCTTCGTATCAGAGTAGTGTTTGCCATTGAAATTATTTCTGCTTCGTAAAATATTTTCCAACATGGAATTCGAGCGAATCCAACAAGTTGACAAGGTATCTAATGCACGTCTGGCGTGTAATCTGGTCACTGTAGCCTCCAATTGGAAGTTTGTGGGTTGCTCCTTGTTTTTCTTAGACTTCGTGTAAACATTGCAGATAGATGTGAGAGTTTAGTGTGTGTGTGTGTGTTTTTTTTTTTTTTTTTTTTTTTTTTTTTTTTTTTTTTTCATTTAAGACTAGTACTGAATAGTAATTAACAGCACAAAAGAACCCATATAAATTTTAGGCAACCAGAATGTCCAAAAGGGTAAAATTTGTGAAGAAAATACAGACCTTCAATCTTGGCATTGTAGAGTAAACGTCTCTCATTCTCTATCAAATATATGAAATTCATACTAGTTTTTTGCCAAGAGAAATCATACAAGTTTGCCTTGGGGAGGTCACATACAAGTATTAATTAGCAAATTATCCTGCAAATAAAGCTAATCGGCGCACTAACTAATTTTATGTATCATGTAATGGATGCCCTATTCTTTTTAATGATAAACAAATAAACAACTAAAAGCTAGCGTAAATGCACCAAACAGAAGATAAGATTAAAAACACATGGTAGTATGGTCCCATGAAACAGTCACTTAGAGTCCGTTTGGTTCATGGATTAGAACCATTTTTTATTTACGTGTGTTTTTTATGAAAGAAAATACTGTAGCGAACCATGAACCATGATTTGAATCAGATAACGAATCCTCCAACCAAACAGGCTCTTAAAATAAATTCTGTTGAACGGCATTCTTCTCGGGACAAAAAAAATATTTTCTACGTTTATTTTATTTTATTTATTTATTTAAATTATATTTATTTTATCAATTTAAATTTTATT